CCCGAACCCCGGTGGGGGCGGGGAGGGCAGCTGGGAGGGGAGGGAGCGCTGAACAAGTGCCTCGGCAGAAGTGCGGCACGGGGCACTTGCCCCGGACACCGCACTCCGTGCCGGGGAGAGAGAAGCAAGCGGTCGGGACGCCCAGAAGCACAGAGCAAGGCACTTGCTCCTCTGCTCCACGAGCGAGCCGCACGGACGAGGCCCGGTCAGCTCGTTCCCCCTCATGCCAGAAGGCCTCCTGTCAGACGCTGGCGAACGTACACACCCCTCGCCCCGCCCCGCCGGCCCGGGGGCTCTGGCCTCCACCCAGGGGACAGGTGGGTGCCGCCAGCCCCTCCGGTGCGACGGCGTGTTTCGGGGAGACAGAGTCCTTGCACCCAGGGGCTCGCAAAGCCGATCGAGCCAGCGGGCCCTGAACTCAAAGCAGCACCGTTCTCTGGGCAAAGCGTTCCCCGCGCAGCAGCGTCCGCGAAGAGAGACGCGTGGACGAGAGCGGAGGCGGCCCGCTTCCTGACCGGGCAGCGCCCGGGCTGAGGGTCCGGCCGCTGCCTGCTCAGCACCCGGCGTCGTACATGGGGAGGCAGGGGGCTAACTCCGAGTGCGTGCGAACCGAACGCCCCAGTTCAGTCAAGTCCCTCGGCCTCTCCGTGAGGAAGAAGTCGGCGGGGGAGGCCCGCCCCGTCCCCCCGCAAACGTCGCTCCACGCAAGGGCATGCCTTCTCAAAGCTGAGCCTGGGGAACGTTCGCGAGGGAGACCCAGAGCCTTACCTCCAGGGAACAAACCAGAAGCCGAGCTGCCTTTCGCGGGCAGGCCGCTCTCTCGGGACGAGAGGCGGGCTCGCGCCGGCCGGTTCGTGCGGCCGCCCGAGGGAGGTGCCCGGCCTTCGGGTGGGAGGACGTCCTAGAAGGCGCCCCTTCCCTGGGCCTCACAGAAGCCCCGCACGAGGGCGTCGAAACCGGCTCCTGCCGCGACTGTGACCGCAGGACCCACGGAGGCGCCCACTCCAGTCTCAGAGCGCGGGAGTCCTGCTGACAGCAGCCCCTCTTCTGCCAGCCTGACACTGGCCCCCGGTCGGCTCCCCTGGAGGAAGCGCTAGCGAAGCACCGCGCGCGGCCTCCCCGTCACGCAGAGAGGGCAGGACGGCGGCACCCGCCTTGGGGCACCCAGGCTTGGAAGCGCCTGCCCCAGACGGGGCTGCGGGGCGGGCCGGGGCGGCCGGGGCAGAGGGTGGAAGGCCGCAGCAAGGGCCACCGCGGAGCACGTCGGGGGCAGCGCGGTTGCCCCGCACGCCACGCTCGGTGCCGTGATGAGGGAAGCCGTCCTGACACCGAGAAGCACAGCGCAAGGCGCGAACGCCTCAGCTGCGTGAGGGAGCACCCCGGAGGAGGCCCACTCGGCGGCAGCCTCCCCCAGGGCCAGAAAGCCTTCTGTCGGACGCTGGCGGAGGCTCACACAACCCCCGAGAGCTTCGCCCCACCCCCCTCCCCACCCCGGGGACCCGTGGGGGCCGCGCCAGCCCGTCCGGCGCGACGGCGCGGTTCGGGGAGCCAGAGTCGTTCCGCACAGGGGCGCGGAAGCCGAACGAGCCCAAGGGGCCCTGAGTTCAGAGCAACACCGTGCTCCGGGTAAAGCCTTCTCCCCCCTGACCAGCCTGGGCGAAGCGGGAGGCGTGGATGAGGGAGGAAGCGGCCCGGCGGCGTCCTGAGCGGCGAGCGCCGGGGCTGAGGGGGCCCGCCTCTGCCGGCTCAGCGCCTGGCGCCTGGCGCCGTCGTGCGCGGGGAGGCGGTCTGCTACCTCAGAGCGTGTGTGGACGCCTGAGGCAAGGTCCCTCGGCCTCCCTGTGAGAAAGAAGTCAGGGTGGGATGCCCACAGCGTCCCCGCACACATGGCCCCACGGAGAAGGACGCCTTCTCCAGCCTGAGCCTGTGCAACGCGAGCGAGCGAGAACCAGAGCCTTACCTCCAAGAATCAAGCTTGAAGCCCAGCTGCCTTTTCGCGTGCAGGCCTCTCTCGCAAAGAGAGAAAGAGAGTGGCGCCCGTGGGCTGGTGCGGGAGCCGCGCGAAGATGCCCGGCCGTCGGGTCGGAGGACATCCGAGAAGCTGCCCCTTCCCTCGGCCTCCCAGAAGCCCGCCCGAAGGCACCGAGACCGGCTCCTGCTGCTACCGTGACCGCGGGACCCCCAGCGGCACACACGCCCCGGGACCGATGGCTCGGCAGTGCTTCGGCCAGCAGCCCCGCTTCTCTCGGGCCGGACCGTCGTCGCTGTGGGTCGGCGCCCCGGGAGCAAGCGTGAGGAAAGCACCGTGCTGCCTCCCCGTCCGGCGCAGAGCACAGGACGGCGACGCCCTCCTTGGGGCGTACATCCCTGGAGGCGCCCTGAGCCTGGAGGCCTTCCCGACCCCGAACCCCGGTGGGGGCGGGGAGGGCAGCTGGGAGGGGAGGGAGCGCTGAACAAGTGCCTCGGCAGAA